AAAATAAGTAGCGGCACGTGATTACCTCTCACCCCAGCAGGAAAGGGGTTCAATCCCAGTCGACGCTGCCGGGATGTTCTGAGGCATAACATCTCTGATCACGCCGAGGATCACGCCTTCCTTCGGAAGGGAAGTGAAGCCATTGGTCCCCGGTTCATGAGTTGATGGGTCGATAGGTAGGGTCCAGGTGTGGGAGCTTCCTCCCTAGCGTCGGTAGCATTGGTGCTCAGCACGGAAAACAAATCAAGGGAAGAAAAACAAAAATCAGTATATGAAGTATATAAACTAAACTAAAAGTAAAAACTATGAAAAAAGTATAAATCACTTACCCTCTAACATGTCCATCGTTGCGCACTGTCCAGTTTGGACCGTAGTTCCTCCACTTTCCTGCTGTTCTTCACTATTTAGCAAATGGAATGCGTAAACAAAGCAGGATGCAGCAAAGTTTGAAGTTTTTTTTTTACCCATTAATGAGTATAAAAATACACATTTTTTGACTGGTACTGCATACTTAAAATGTGTATTTTTTTACACATTTTAGGATCTCCAAATATACACATTTTTTGACAGCTGCATATAAATATGAAAAATGTGTATTTTTTTACTCATTTATGTGTTTACGCTGGTTACCGTGAAGGACATCCAGCTGGCTTGTCGTATTCGTGGAGAACGCGTTTGACCGATCTGGGTGGATTCTACCTAAATTTGGGGAGTTTTGAAATAGCGTGTATACATGCGTATACGCTATTTAAAAACTACCTAAATTTGAGTGAAATCCAGGTTATGTTATGTGTGATCACACCAAATTTCTTATATCTTGTTCGGTACTTTTTTTGCTGGATTTGTTCGGTGAAATCAAGGTGACTACAAATAGGTGTTCTAATGTGTCAAATTTATAATTCCAGCATGCACTTCGCACAGAATGCACTTCGAAACCTAATGCGATGAAAAATGCTCGAAAGTGCGTGAGCATTTCGTACTGACAGAATGTTTAATGCACCAATGCGATGAAAAATTGGTTTTTTTCTACAGTGCATGAAAAAGTACACGTGGTACGTTTTAATGTGTATACACTTATCAAATTCCACACATTTTTATTGACGAATTCCCTAATAAAAAAAATACCATAGATGAACGATAACCCAAATGGTTGAACTATTCCACTAATGGTTTGGATGATACCTAAAACACGTCGTTAAGCAAATTAACCATAACATTTTTATTAGGGTTTTCATGTGAAATTCCACATGATTTTCATGTGACCACACATAAACAGAATCCACCCAGAAGCACACATGAAATATATGAGTCAAATGAATAGTATGTGTGGTTATACATGGCTTTTATGTGTACACATATTAAGTATGTGTTTTTCTTCTTCTTGTTCGCATTTCAAGTTTATTGCTTAGCGCATATTAGCTTATTGCGTGCTCTCAACTTAGTGTTCTAAATGCACTTCCACACACACAAAAAATTATCATTGATAATATTAAAAAAACCGTTGGTAGAAATAAAAGTTTGCATTGGTTCTTTTTGGTAGAAAGTACTTAACTTTCAACACGTAAGTCAGCCAACTGTCAAATCAAAAGTTTAACATATTATTAATTTTAAAAGTTGAAACTTTCAAATCGAATTGTAGAACTGTCAAACTGAAAACCTAATCCTTTTAGATTGACGTTGGAAAAGTGTTGCTTCAAAACACGGGTATTTCTTCGCAATTTGTATAAGTTTTCATCTCAATTACAAATTATTTTTAAATTAATTGCTTTTATGATGCATGCAGAAAATAATAAATATTTATTTTTATGTAAGTAAATTCTTAATATACATAATTTTATGTTTCATTCACATGTTGTTGAATGCTGTTTGGAAAAAATCTAACTCAGTATCGGAACAGATATTAGTCTTCGGCGGATAATGAAGGTTTCCTCCTAAATACGGGGTTCCAACGTGCAGCGGACTTGGTCGAACGAAAGTGCATCTTGCTTTCGTTGCTGGCCGACAATAAGCACCAAGCCGGGTATGGATCGGGCGATCGGGCGTCTGAATTTTACCAGTAGGAAAGAACGGAGTCTCTAATCCCTATTGATAGCCACCAAAAACGTCTCGGCTGTGTGCTCCAACGTAGCAAGATGCTTTCGATCTGAAAAATGATCAATTTCATTTTCAAAATCATCCTCGAAATATGTAGACAGTACACCCAACCGGTGGATGTAAGATTCGCTTACAATTATGTGGGATTCATCATCAGAGGATGTTAGTGGAGACCGCATGAACCGAGGTTGCGATATACCTAGCTGCGGTCCGATGTAAGAAAATTGGAGACCGAAAAATGTGAAGTGTATTAGTGAGTGAAATTAATTATGTCGAAAAAAATAAAAAAAAGGTTGCCGACTGGACTCGAACCACGGACGTTGCGACTATCAGACCTGTGCTTTCTCCACTGCTCTTTCTATGCGTCTGAATATAGTCAGCCTAAAAGCAAACATGAAGCGCTCATTTTCTCGCATGCTCGACTTCGTATGCTTTTTCTGCAGGAGAGATTCGAGATAAGTGTGTGCGTCGTTCTACAATGTTCTACAATGTGCGTCGTTCTACAAGCTTACTGGTATAGTCGAAAGAGTAGATTGAACCCGAAATAAAAATGCTCGACTTCGTATGCTTTTTCTGCTGGAGAGATTCGAGACAAGTGTGTGCGTCGTTCTACAATGTTCTACAATGTACGTCGTTCTACAAGCTTACTGGTATAGTCGAAAGCGTAGATGGAACATGAAATAAAAAAAGACAAAAAACCATTACATCGCCTGCATGGTCAATTTCTAACATTCGTTGCGATGTTCATGAACAGAGGATGATAGGAAACGGAACTAACATTCATTGTAATAGATTTTTGGTTTGCGTGTAGTAGCAATCTTACATTCTGCGAAAAACTCAATCTTTTTCACTGCCTCCGGTACCGGAATCGGTTCCTCCGGTTTGGAATTTCGGAAGTGTACGATGCACAATTGATTTTCTGCGGTCTAGTATCTTACCTTATATGCCCTATTAGATTTTTGAACAATGCCAATGAGCTTTTCAGGAGGTCATTTTGACATTTGTACAATTTTTGTTTTAAAAATGTGAACTTTTAAAATTACGTGTCGATAGTCAAATAAAAACTTTCAAATCATAGAAAATAAATTCACTTGGAATATTTTCGTAGTTGAAACTACCAAATTCGAGAAACTTTTAATTTGAATTGGTAACATTTTTATAGATACCATTTTTGTTTTTTGTGTGCAGTTATTAATTGAAAGCTTTCAATGCCAATACCAATGCACGAATTTGTATATTGTGTGGCAAGCACAATGATACTCTATGCCCAGGGAAGTCGAGAAAATTTCCAACCCGAAAGATTCCCTCGACCGGACCGGGAATCGAACCCACCGCGGTACCACCACTGATAAAATTTCAAAGGTTGTTTTTATTAAAGCCCTACAGTAAAAGTATGGACGACTGTCACCACAAATCTGAAAAAAAGCTGTTCCAATCGAGCAAAGCGGTGCATTTTGACGGTTCGATTGGAACAACTTTTGACAGACGTCCATACTTTTACTGTAGGGCTTTAGTTTTTATGTGTCCCGCACATGAATTTTTGCAATGTGATCAACAAATGATTTTTTTTTATATCTTCATTAAGGAGCTCAGGGCTGAAGGGCTGGTTCCCCTAATAAAAAAATACCGTAAATGAACGATAACCCAAATGGTTGAACTATTCCACTAATGGTTTGGATGATACCTCGAACACGTCGTTAAGCAAATTAACCATAACATTTGTTCAATCAGGGACTTAATCACTGGCTTTAAAGTCGTCGGATAACGCGCACAGAAAGCACTTAACACGCGAGTACTTATTCGGGGTGAATTAAGTGGACTGTATTTAATCGTTTGGAAGGTATAAAATAATCACGCGACGTGTACTTAAACAAACGACTGTTCCTGTGAAAGGTTTATTGTGGACTAACTTATATAAAAATTCTAGGGACCTACACCACTGCGTGCGATGTTTTTTCTTATCGGTTTGCTACCTACACTCGGCCCTACCGTTGATCGTGAAGCGATCGATATGGTACGGGATAGATTGATAAGGGACATTGGGCAGAATAGGTCAACTATATCTCCTACTGTTCATCTACTCGGGTCACTCATGATCGAGTGAGTGATCTTGCAGTGGTATGGTTTTTTTCTAGGTAGAAACCCGTGAAAGTGGTGACCGGTGCGAACATACCGGCCGCCTTGAAATGCCTAGTTTCAACCTACATTTATACATCGATAGCTATACAAAACAAAAATCTCCTATCTCCTAACATGCAAATCAAAACAAACGTATGTACATAAATAACAATAGATATCACTGTACTGCAGTTTCTGGAATGTATGCCTCGTTCGTCTGTCTCGTCATCGCTCACACGGCCTGTGTGGTCGATGGATGGTTGGGGATCGTCCATGGATTCCTCCTCAATTCGACATCGCTAGTTGACCCTTCGACCTCGGATGAGGCTATCTTCGACCGGAATTCTCTATATAAGATGAAAGGCGATTTTTTAACAATAAATTACAAAGATCAAACGACTTCCCTGGTCCGCGGAGGCCGTCCGCCTCCGCTAGCGCGGTTGCGCTTCTGATGAACCCGTCGAGTAACCATCAGATGATGAAGAATTGCCTTCAGACCGGATGTTTCAGGGCTGTCCAAGTGGAATTTGGTTGTTGTTGACACTTCGGTATGATTTCGAGGGTGATACTTGGTCGACAGTTGATGATGACTGGTAGATGAAGGGCAGAGGAACACGGCGGACATCTGAAATTCGGACGTGCGGCTCCAGCCGCGGCGGAGGAACTGGACTATGGACGACAAAACATTCTCTAAGCTTTTTGACCGTTAATTGAAAAACAAAGACTTAACTGGTACGCGGAGACCCGCAGGCCTCCGCAGCGCTCGAAAGCGCTCGATGAAGAAGGAACTAATCCTCCCCTTGAGCTGATGTTGCAGTGGCTTCATTGTCCCGTATCGGCAGGATACAAATTTTGGATATCGCTCGTAGGAACTCTCCGTCCTTCGTGCGAACCTTAACGACGCGGATGTTGCCGTCCTTTCCCGGGTGGATCTCCACTACTCGTCCCATGCGCCACTTGAGGGGTGGTGTGTTATCCTCACATAGCAGCACCATGGTTCCGATGGAGACGTTGTTCCGTTGCCTGGTCCATTTTGTTCGAGCTTGCAGATCAGAAAGGTACTGAGTCGACCAACGCTTCCAGATGTGTTGAAGGAAGTTCTGCACTCGCTGCCATCTCGAAAGCCTGATCTGATTGAGGTCTTCAAGTGACGGTTCTGGAATTTCTGTGAGTGGTCTTCCCACAAGAAAGTGACCAGGAGTCAGGATTTCCATGTCGTTCGGGTCATTCGAGAGTGGCGTAATCGGCCTCGAGTTGAGGCAGGCCTCGATTTGCGCCACCAGAGTTGCCATTTCATCAGATGAAATTACCATGTTTCCAAGGGTACGCTTCAGATGTCCTTTCATCGACTTCACGGCAGCCTCCCAAAGCCCACTAAAATTTGGAGATTTTGCCGGGATGAATTTAAAGTTGATATTGTCCATCGCCGTCTCTTCAGCTACTGTCTTCGCAAATTCCTGGTTATTGAACAGTTTCCGTAGTTCACCCAATTCACGCCGTGCCCCGATGAAATTCGTTGCGTTGTCGCACATGAGGATTTCTGGACGTCCACGGCGTGCGACGAATCTTCTCAACGCAGCGATAAAGGCCTGACTGGTGAGGTCTCCCACGACCTCCAGGTGGACAGCCTTCACTACAAGGCACACAAACACGGCGACGAAGCACTTAACCGGTGCTCCTTTTCTGTACGGGTACTGGATGTAAAACGGACCACAGTAATCCACTCCTACTCGTAAGAAAGGGGGAGCTGGAGTTACTCGTTCCGATGGTAAGTCTGCCATGAGTTGCTCGTGGAGCTTCGGTCGAGCACGAAAGCATTTCACACAGCGATGAATGACCATGCGTGCTAGGTTTCGAGCAGCAATTGGCCAGTATCTTTCCCGCATGCTGGCGGTCAGTAGCTGTTGTCCAGCATGGAGATGCTTGCGGTGATAGTCAGTGGCGATGAGAACAGACAGCGGGTGTTGATTGTCAAGAACAATTGGATGTTTCCGGCCAGCCGAAATGTTGGCATTCGCGAGCCGGCCGCCGACCAGGATTAACCCGTTTACAAAGCGTGGAGTGAGCTGGTTGATCCTCGATGTAGACTTGACTTCACCATTCTTCTGCAGTTCAGCGAGATCTTCGGGGAAACTTTCCTGTTGGGCAAGAGCTAGCAGCTGACGCAGCGCTTCTTCTCGCTCTTCATATCTGATGAAACCTACTCTACGATCTAAACGGTTCTTGCAGTTGTGGGCGAATCTTCGGATCAGAGCTACTAATCGGAGAAGATCGTTCAAAGACGATCGTAGACCGAAGACTGGACTGGTCTCGATCACTTGAGCAGCAGCTGACACAGTAGTTCTTTCTTCAAGAAGAGAGGGATCCAGGTGTTCAGTAGTGATTGTAGCAGTTGTCGGCCAGGATGTCTTATCCTGCCGAAGCCAGGATGGTCCGTGCCACCACATTTGGTAGTCCTTCAGTATATCAGGCGTCATTCCCCGTGATAGAACATCCGCGGGATTCTCTAACCCAGCGATGTGGTTCCAGATTCCTCCACGAGAAATGTGTTGGATCTCTGACACCCTGTTGGCCACGAACATATTCCAGCGAGAGGGTGGAGAAGCGATCCAGCATTTGACGATCATCGAGTCAGTCCAAAAGTATGGTTGAGCAGTTATCTTGATACTTTGGACGACCTTCTCGAACAGATGAACGCCGGTGAGTGCGGATGACAACTCCAATCTCGGTATGGAGGTTTGTTTCCGCTTCTTTTCCAGATCTTCAAGTGGAGCTACCCTGGATTTTGCTGTAAGCAGCAAGGCAGTGACTGATCCATTGAATGAGGTGCATCGGAGATAGATGCAGGCACCGTATGCCTTCTTGGAGGCATCACAGAACATGTGGAGTTCAGCGGAGATGGTATCGTTTCAAAAGGCGACCCATCGAGGGACTTGCAGCAGTCGCAATCTTTCCAAACCTTCTCGAAATTCTCGCCACCAGTTTTGAAGCTCTTCGGGAAGAGTATCGTTCCAGGAACACTTTGTTCTCCAAAGATCCTGAAGAAATACCTTGGCTTGGACTAATGTAGGTCCTACCAGGCCTAAGGGATCGAAAAGCTTTGCGAAATCGGACAATATGATCCTCTTGTTGAGCTCAGTAGCAGGATTCCACTGAGGTACAGTGAATCTGAACACGTCCGATCGAGGTTCCCACTTCAGTCCGAGGGTCTTGACGATGGAATTCGAAGGTTCGAGGTCCAAAGATGAGCGTTCATCCCGCAGATATGGTGGGATACTGTCCATGATCTCTCGGGAATTTGAACTCCACTTTCTTAAGGTCAGTCCAGCCGTGCCCAGCACGTGGATGAGGTCTTTGGATAGCTGCACTCCTTCTTCGATACTGTCGATGCTCTTCAGCATGTCGTCTACGTAGAAGTCGTAGATTATGGTGTCCGCTGCGGCAGGAAAATTTCCTTTCTCTTCCTCCGCCAGCTTCTTGAGGCAACGCGTTGCCAGATATGGTGCTGAAGAGGTACCGTACGTTACGGTGGTCAGAACGAAGATGCGAAGAGGTTTTCCAGAATCGGCCCTCCACACAATGCAGTGAAGAGGATGGTCCAAGCGATGCGTCTTCATCATCCGGTACATCTTCTCGACGTCGGCTGTTATTGTATATTTCCGCAGGCGGAAGCGAAGTGTTATTGAGTTTAGGTCCTCCTGAACAACAGGACCTACCATAAGGACGTCGTTTAGTGAGACTCTAGTGGTGGTTGCGCAGGATGCGTCAAATACGACACGCAACTTGGTTGTCGTGCTGTCCGGCTTAATTACCGCATGATGCGGTAGGAAATAAGCAACTGGAAATGTACTTAATTCCCGTGGTGAAATCTCACGCATGTGCTGCATCCGTAGATATTCTTCAATGAATTCGGTATACATCTTCTTCACTGCTGGATCTGCATCAAGTCTTCGCTCCAATGCCATGAAGCGACGAATGGCTATAGACTGCGACTCTCCTAGACGATCCAGCATGAATTGCTTCTTGGGTAGTTGGACGACAAATCTACCACTCGAATCTCTCGTTGTCGTCTTCTCGAAGTGTAGCTCGCAGGCTGATTCTTCCAGCGATAGGGTGCTGGTGGTGCGACACGATTCTAGCTCAAAGAACCGTGCTAATCCTTCTTCAATGTTCTCAGTGGCACAGGATGATACTGTCGTTAGGGATGTTGATACTTCCGGACTGCCTCCGGAAACGATCCAACCTAGCAGCGTGTTCTGCAAGGTTGGGCCAGTATCTCCAAGCTTGATCTGGCGTTCTGCAATCATCAACTTCAGATAGACTTCCGCTCCAATTATCAAATCAACTGCTCCGGACTCGTTGAACGTCGGATCCGCTAGGATGATCTCTTTCGGAATGTTCCACGATCGAATGTCGATGCTTCGTGTGGGTAGATCGACAGTGACTCGAGGCAACACATGGAACTTCAAATTTGTCACGTAATTAGTGACGAGCGAATGAACTTCAGCGCAAATTGCTTGAGCAGAAGCAGTGCGAGACCCTCCAATTCCAACGATTGGCAGATGCTCACGAGTTCTTTTGAACTTGAGCTTCTGAGAAATGTTTTCAGACATGTAGCATCGCTGGGAGCCAGAGTCCAGCAATGCACGAGCGAGTAAAGAATTACCGTACTGATCATATAGATTGACGACAGCGGTAGAGAGCAAAACAGTGTGTGGTACATGTTGTGTGTTTACTAAAGGAGCAGTGTGGTAGCTTGTACTGGGGCCGTCTGTGGCGGGAGTGTGTGAATGAGCATTACTTGCATTTGTGGTGGAATTCGTGGTAGATTCCGGGTGGCTTTGTTGTGTTTGCTGAGTGTTTGTTGCGTGACCGTTAGGTGTCGGCTTAGTTTGTGGTGGTTGCGTGTTTTGTCCTTGTGGTTTCTTATTTGACTGATTCCCTTGGAATGGTCCAGATCTGTTCTGTGAATTCGCGGTGGTCGATGAGTTCACGTGAAGCAACGAATGATGACGCTGGCCACATTGGTAGCACGATCCTCTAGTGCAAAATCTTGCGATGTGTGCAGGAGACAAGCAGTTCAAGCAGAGCGAATTTTTCCTCACGGCATCGACCCTTTCCGAAATTCTCATTTTTGAAAACTTCGCACACTTAAATGCAGAGTGCGCAGATTCTCCGCAGAATGGACAGCATCCTGATGACTGGATACCTGCATGACTAGTGGAAGGACGAACTATTTTCCTCGGTTCAGCCTGGAATTGCCTTCCAGGTGAGATAGACTGCAACACCGAACAGTGACTCTTCAGGAACTTGATTAAGTCAGCATATCGTGGGACTTCCTTAGAATTATAGTGGGACTCCCACTGGCGTAGTGTTGTGGGATGTAGACGTTTGCAGAGCATGTACTGCAGCAACGTGCTCCAACCCTCCGGGTTTTCACCAATCTTGGACAGCATTTGCAGGTTTTTCTCAAACCCATTTACGAGTTTACTCAACGACTCGTAATTCTCCTGCCGGAGTGGCTCTAGGGCGAACAACGAGTCCAAGTGGGTCATCACCAACAACTTCTTATTCTCAAAGGCATTTTCCAAGGCGGTCCACGCAATGGCGTAGTTGGCAGAGGAAATCTCGATCGATGCGATCTCCTGAAGCGCATCACCGATGAGAGACGTTCGCAGATAAGTGAACTTATCCATATTAGACAAGCCAGTATCATTGTGGATCAGGTTCTTGTACGTGTCTCGAAAAGTGACCCAATCCGAGATTCTTCCGTTGAAGGTGGGCAGTTTCAGCTCTGGGAGCTTCACCTTGGACTGTGGTACAGCTACAGATTGATGCTGTTGAACTTGCAGTGCACTACTTGATGTAGATTGAAGAAACCCGAACATAGATTCCTTCAAGCGGTACACTTCATTCTCGAAATCTTTAATTATCTTCGAGTTCTCACGATCTCGTTGTCTCTGGACCCTGACTTGCCGTTGCAATCTTGCTTCCTCCGTTTCTTCCGTTTCGTCCGTGGAAATCTCATCATCGACGCCATCGGTGATTAGCTCAATGCGCATCCGAATATCGATGAATTGTTGCCAGATATCATCCAGCCTGGCTATGCGCATGTCCAAAGAACGTCTATCAGCTCCATCGTTAATCGATTGGACAAACTCCTTAATGTTGTCCAAGGAAATCCGCATGGCACGCTCCTGTTTGTGCAGCAGCCGTAGATCATCGGTTGCTGGCATAATTGAACACTTTCACTATCACTTATTACTTCACCCGAATGCGATACTCGAATCGACCACGCGGTATTGACTGGACAATGAAACCAATTCAAAATGGGAGATCAAGAACAAGGCAAACCAACCTACAAAGCGGACAAAGCCAACAAGATGGTTGAATGGTCAGGGCTCAACTCAGCTTCAAATAAATTGGACGCCACAAATTTGATCATGCAAGCAATTTGTATAATATTTATTCACGGTAGTTAATCGATTTCACTTCACTTCAATTGGCTCATTCTACATGCAATTTTTTCTCGCCGGCGTCGGTCTCACATGCAACAGAGATCCGCGCCACAGACAAACCTGCTCGGGGCCCTCAGTACTTATCCTGATATTGCCTAGCAAATCCGTCTGGATCCGTCGAATCTACGATGGCAGGTTCAACTCCGTCGTAGCACTTTCCGCAGGAACAGCAGCAGCAGAAAGATGATGGCAGCAACAACAGACGATCGATGGCAGCAACAGCAGCAGCAGACCACCGAACCACTTTAGTCTTTAGACACCCGTGTCCTATTGTTCTCCCTTATGGAGAATAATCAGCGACCACGCGGTGGCTAACCAGTCACTTCACTTTCGCGTTTCCCGACGATCCGGCTCGAAGGACCAAAATGTTCAATCAGGGACTTAATCACTGGCTTTAAAGTCGTCGGATAACACGCACAGAAAGCACTTAACACGCGAGTACTTATTCGGGGTGAATTATGTGGACTGTATTTAATCGTTTGCAAGGTATAAAATAATCACGCGACGTGTACTTAAACAAACGACTGTTCCTGTGAAAGGTTTATTGTGGACTAACTTATATAAAAATTCTAGGGACCTACACCACTGCGTGCGATGTTTTTTCTTATCGGTTTGCTACCTACACTCGGCCCTACCGTTGATCGTGAAGCGATCGATATGGTACGGGATAGATTGATAAGGGACATTGGGCAGAATAGGTCAACTATATCTCCTACTGTTCATCTACTCGGGTCACTCATGATCGAGTGAGTGATCTTGCATTGGTATGGTTTTTTTCTAGGTAGAAACCCGTGAAAGTGGTGACTGGTGCGAACAACATTTTTATTAGGGTCGTCTCCGAACAAATCAGTGCTAACATTTGAAAACGGCACAAAAGCCATTTGTAAACAAATGGTTTGTGGGCCCTTTACTCACTACTTGAAGTACACCCACGCGACACAACAGCAACATCGGGTAGGGGAAATTTTCCCCTTCCTGACGATGCTGTTGGTTTGCGTGGGCGTTCTTCGGGTAGCGAGTAAAGGGCCCACAAACCATTTGTTTACAAATGGCTTTTGCGCCGTTTTCAAATGTTAGCACTGAAATGATATTTATGTGTCGGACACATACTTAATACTTAGGGGCCTCATAGCCTAGTCAGTAAAGGCACGGTTTGCTTGGGACCAATAGGCTAGTCAAGTAGTGAGCCAATTTAAAATCGCTAGTTTCGTATTGATTGTTGGCATTACCAAGCCGGTAATACCAACAATCAATACAAAACTAACGATTTTAAATTGGCTCACTACTTGACTAGCCTATTGGTCGCAAGCAAACCGTGCCTTTACTGACTAGGCTATGAGGCCCCTAAGTATTAAGTATGTGTTCGACACATAAATATCATTTGTTCGGAGACGAACCAGCCCTTCAGCCCTGAGCTCCTTAATAAAGATATAAAAAATCATTTGTTGATCACATTGCAAAAATTCATGTGCGGGACACATAAAAACAACATTTGAAATTTTATCAGTGTAGTGGTGACCGCGGTGGCGATTGGCGCCATATTATTCGTTTTGAACCGCTCGACCAACAATAACGCAAACTGATCCTTAAATCGCATCCTGGCACATCGATGAAATTGATGAATTTAAGCAAAGGTAAAACTGGTCATGTGACATCTAGTTTTTAGATTTGCAATTACAAAACTGATGATGTACTATTTTTTTTCCATATACGATTTGACATTGCTACCTGTCGATTAGCTTGGGACCGAAGATAGTACCAGAGCTGAGCAAAAAAGTTGAGCACGTTTCTTCGGGACCTACTACCAACCGGTGGAAAACAACGATTTTAAATTGGCTCACTACTTGACTAGCCTATTGGTCCCAAGCAAATCAATTAGCGTAGCCAATTCTAGTCGAAAGTCTAGTACTACACTATGTTTGTTTTGATTCACTATGAAAGTTTGACAGATAAAATGAGAGGTTCGTGGATTTTCCTATGTTGCGAGGGGTGCAACCTATTCTTGCTACTGATTTTGTCCAATTCTTAGGTATCCAAACTATATTATTCGTAAATTTATTATTTAATATATGGATAAACTATCTAATATTGAATAACTTTTATTTACGATAATTACATTAAAGAAATAAAATATAAACTACAAACAAAACGTGACTACTCAAATCTCAAAAAGATACTAAGATACTCACAAATGTATTTCGCCCAACCTTTCTTCATTATACACTTTTTCTATCTATCCTCCTATTAGGCCTATGGACATGCGTTAGCTACGAAACTTCTAACCAGACTGGAAAATCTATGAGGCTAAAAAAAAAACAAAACCAAAAACTTAAAAAGTTTAAAAGATAATTACAAGTCGCATTAATGGCCCTTCGCTCATTTTCAGCTTCTATTCAATTTTTATACTGCCGTACTCTAACGGAACTATCTACCTACCCTATTATAAGACAATTATCTTAGTAATAAACTATCATAGTATAGCCTCATATTAGATAGCATTTCCAACCAACTCTGAAAATCGCAAACATCGCGTATGAAGTAACATAAAAACACTTTGAAAATATTGATTATTTTACGCAAAAACGAACAAGTAATATTAGATCGCTTGTATCGTATGCTAATGCTTATTGACTGTAACAAAAATAATTTTCTAGAATAAAATTTTAATAAAATGTTATGCAAAATTTACTAGAAGATCATTATTTTATTGTTGAGAAGTTTCTAAAGAGCCCTCGCAGTTCCTCTGTAACAAAGTGGAACAAATCGGATACTATAGTCAGAATTGCTCAGTCTGCATGAAGCAACCGATTTCATCACGGAAGTTCTATTAACAACGAAGACCAGAAGGTCCCAAAGAAACGAGCTCAATTTTTTGGCTTAGCTCTGGTACTATCTTCGGTCCCAAGCTAATCGATGCACCCCTCGAAACATAGGAAAACCCACGAATCTAGCTCGATCTCAAACAAACTTTTGCTGCGTCAATTAAATTAACGGAGCTTACAGCTATCAACATTTAGGTTGACTGATAATTGTAGATTAATTTCCTGAATGGCAATATGGAACCTGGAACATTCCAATTGACGTCACTTCTTTGGACGATGAGTGGCAAGACATGGATGGGGATGATTGATTTTAAATAATTTGAACATTTTTATCAACATATTTGTGTGTAAACTCAAACAAAAATTGCATAAAGGCATCTATCTCTGAGCAGACATGTCTTGTTCTATCTTATAAGTTACAAGAGGTTGTAATCTACACACTTCGAAAACTGCATGCAATCCTAATGTCCAACACGTGAACACACGTACAAACGTAAAATTAAGCTAACTACGTCACGCAATATCAAGTCCGTTTTTTCAATTACGTCTCATTTAATAATCATAATTTTGTTGTGTATATGTGTTTGACACATAAAACCTGTCAATATCGCATTTAGAGAGTCCCAATCAGCAATTCTTTTATCGGTGAATATTCACTCTTCATCATCAATTTATGACTCTCTGAAAGCGAAATTGACATGATTCATGTGTAAAACACACACTTTACGATCTCTTCTTGTAATTTGCAAGTTCAAAATATCATATTGATAGCAAACGAATGGCCGCAACCCTGCTTATAAATGCTTAAAAGAGTTTCTGCACGAGGTTACTTATGACATTTTATGCTTCATGGCTCTATTGAAAGCGCATGTCTCATACAAATTATGTTGATTGTCATTGGTTACCAGAATGGATTTTGTGTGGTGATTGATCAATGCCTTGCAGTTGCTTCCTGTAACATAAAACTAGAATTTAATAGCGCACTGAATTCCGTTATTTTAAGCAAATTAATACAATGAGCACTATAAAGAATGTTATTGATTTGGATGATATGTTCTACGAAAGTCTATCATTAGGACTGGCAAAGGTTTTAAGTGAGTACTGGTTTAAAATATGTCATTCAATGTTCTTATTATTCACAGAAATTTGCAGATTGCATTCCACGCATTACTAATGTAACATGTGAAAAACGATTACCGTGTGAAAAGGCACAGGTTACAGCCTGGGAGTCACGGCATAATATATATCTACCAGATGATATGAAGCGGTTTTATTTGTCTACCGATGGATTTAACTTTTACTGGAGTTATCAGTATTCTCGTAAGAACGTTAAATTGGTTGATTTTATTAATATATATATATCATAACGCTTGCTTTTAGCTAACGATATACGTCGTGTGGGGCATATACATTTCCCACATTTAATTCAGATAACTCTGGTTCGAGATAATATTGATACAATCCTTAGTTCCAGTCCCAACACTGCCGTTACGATTCCACCAATAATTCGTCAATCGAACTACATAGATTCGTCTTCTGGGTATCTGAATCATTTAAATCTTAACTCTCGCAGTAAAATATTTGAACTGAGCACTATTACTGACCTGGCAAAGGTTTGCCTGGTTTATGAAACTCCAGAATCATCAAATCCTAAAATATTCCTGCTGGAAATGGGAACATTTAAATGGCAATTCTTGGCAGACACCTTCACGGAGTATTTGCGCATGAGCATAGCGCATCTTGGCTTACCATATTGGGAGTTGTGTTTCTCGACCTGTGGACTGCCTTCCTGGACAGAGCAGCTCTTTTTGCTGCTTGCTCCACATTTATTGGAGAAAAACGAAAACCGTAGGCTGAAGAATATCGTTTGCGTCAACGAAAATCCACCGTATAATGTACTCGATCCTGCCGTTTTCAGAACCAAACCACGCTGCTCTAGACAAAGTCAGAAAAATCGAATGAACAACTAGGTGGTACCTATATATGTACAAAAAGGTCCTAAATAAGTTTATTTTCTACAATTAGTTCACAATATAGTATTTAACTTAATAAACAATGTTTTAACATTTTGAAAGCATCTACGGGATGGTTTACTATTGCTATGTGACTTCCCACACTGTTGATTCCAGAGACTGCCGAGGGCGGTTTGAGACTTCTACATGCGCATCCAATCCATCACTTAGACGACTCAGGCGTCTGGCCCAGCTTCCTCTTATTCCTACAAAAAGGAGCAATTTTATGTAACGCAAAATACAGTCAACTATTGTTCAACGCGGCATGCTTTCAACGTGACCTTGATGAATGCGAAAAAATTTGGGATAATATTTCCTTGATCAACTGAATAACTTGCGCCTTATCGCAACACATGTTTGTTGAAGTCACGTGTTGAGACTGCTGAGGAAATCGAAAGAACCAATTGAAATTTTTTCATGTCACCGGAATCATGTTGAACGCGGTTTTGCTCAACGTGGGAATCAATCAATCAAAAATAGATTTATGTAACACGGAACCAATAACTCGCGTTCAACAAGGGTTGATTGTACGTTGACTAGTAGGTATATCACTGCTCTTCACCTTGTCTACTGTTGTTGCTTTGATCCCGAATTGCTTGCAAAATTTCTTCATAATCTGTATCTCGGGATTTTTTCAAGCCATGTTCGTATTTGGCTTCTTTGGCGAGCATTTGTTCGCGCTGTATCTGGGTCTTAACTTCAACGGGGATATCCGGAATGATAAACTGCATGATTCCCGTCAGTACAAACACAATGTGCTCAAAAACAACCACGAACGCCAACCGAGCCGCAAATACGTGCCAATAGTGGGGACTCAAGCCATACTGTTCTTGGTCGGCGGGACCATTACGATATCCCCTGTACTGACAAATATCTGGATCGGATTCGGTTTTGGTGCCCCACTCATCTTTGTAATCAGAGGTGTTGAAAACTAATTAAGATATTTGAAATTGGATTAAGGTTGTGCTTCTTAAAATAGAACCACTCATACCTGACAGTGAATGTTCGATATATCCATGCAGTGAAAACTGAGGTGAGTAGACATATTTGTAGACCATGCGAGGGATAAAGTCGCTGGTATAAGCTATCACGAATGCCTGAAATCAACGATGTATGAAAATCTACCTGAGAGCGGTGATAAAATAATCTTACGTTGGAAACCACGGCCGTGTAGGTTATGATCTTCAGAATCGCGTACCATGCTCCGATGTCCTCGACTCGTTCTGCCAGAGGTCGTCTAGATTGAGTAACCATTTTGTAAGCATCCAACCGTATTTCAGCAATGTTATTTAGCAATGCAAACAATGGAGCCAGAGGGAAAGCGGCCACAAACAACGTCACAAATCCATACTGTACAACTGAAATGAGACATTTTTAAGTTGTAGAGCTGTCATATGTACCATGTAGAAATGAAAGTGATTTTACTCATTTCTAAATACTCATCGAACAAGGCCAATCGTCCAGGATCCTGGAGATGGTAGTCTTGCTCCCAAGCCATGTGTAGATGAGTCTCGTCCTTTGTTAGCTGCTTGTGTTTGCGTTGACGCCACCAGTTGTAAAATGCTCTGTGGAGTAATTCGCCGCGTTCGAAAGAAGAAGAAAATTGATTAGTTTTTTGAAAAATGCTCTTCATATCAATGTACTCAGAAAAATAGGCACTATCACTTAAGATGCATAATCTACATGATACATATCAATATAAGTTTAAGAACCAAAGTCATGAATAACATAATTGACATAGTTGAAGATGCTAATTTCAAATAACAGACTAGAGTGGTAATTTTTATACGATAGATGAGGAGATGAAAGTTGGGGCCTCCCTTAGCTCATTCGGTAAAAGGCGCAGCTACAAAGCAAGACCATGCTGGAGGTGGCTGGGTTCAATTCCCGGTCCGGTCTAGGAATGTTTCGGGTTGGAAAACTTCTCGACTTCCCTGGGCAATAGAAGTATGATTGGACTTGCCACACAATTATACCAATGCAAAAATGGTACAGGCATCGAAAGCTCTCAATTAATAGCTGTGGAAGTGCATCTAGAACACTAAGTTGAGAGCACGCAATAAGCTTGTAATGCGAAGAAGAAAGAAGAAGAAGAGGAGATGAAGGTATATAGTTGATAGTTCCGTTACAGTACGGCAGTGTGAAATTGTATTGATACGTGTGGGGTTTGCTTGAGAGCGGAAGGGAGAGAAGTAGGTACTGGCAATAAGTCGATATCCCTCAGCTCAGCTGCGGTGCTATTTAGATAGAAGAGTGCGCGGCTTAGCTACTTCTGCATGCTACTATCACTCAAAAATATTACTAAACAAGGAAAGCTTAAAATTTAACCAATGTACGGTTTAGCAATGTTTATACATTGATCCGTTTAAATTAATCTTCAAAAGTATACTAAGTTAGAATAATACCGTGCAATCCGGTCAAAGTATACCAAGCTACTTGTTGTTTTATTCAGATTTCTAATCGAATAGCAACGTTTTTTTTCGTTTATAATCAGTTATTTGAATATTGATCGAGAGTTTACCCAAGTAGGGAGGTGAATGCCATAGGATCATGGATGATTCCGAAGACAATGATGTTCGGAGGAAAAGTATCAACTAAATGAAATGGCTTTCTGCAAAAAAGCACCTATAAACTGGACAGAATATCAACGACCCTGAAAACGCCCGAAACGGCGGACAGGAGGAAGAGCAAGCTGGATTTGGCTATGACTTCCCACCGAATGAGGAGCAAGTTGAAGAAAAGTGAGTTGGGTGGATTTTCGGGTGGAGGTTTATTTCTGATTAATTTGCATTTTTAGACATCACAGTGGTTCACTACGAGTCGGATTCCGACTTATCGGCAAAGGAAAGCGATTTTGAACCTTTATTGGAGGATGATGAATAGAGGAAGACAATGATGATGAGGAAGAGGAAGAAGTGGCCAAACCAAAACATCCATTAGTATTCCTTTGGGAAAAGCTCCAGACCCATTCAATGCCTGTGACCCAGCAAGTTAGCAGTCGGATCCAAAGCCGCAAGACGATTTTTTTTTTTTTTTTTTTCCTTTGGTTTGTTTTTTTCCGTCGATCTTGTTTTCCGTGCTGAGCACCAATGCTACCGACGTGCCAGGAAGGCAGCTCCCACACCTGGACCCTACCTATCGACCCATCAACTCATGAACCGGGGACCAACGGCTTTACTTCCCATCCGAAGGAAGGCGTGATCAGAGATGTTATGCCTTAGAACATCCCGGCGGCGCCGACTGGGATTGAACAAAGGCCTGCTGGGGTGAGAGGTAATCACGCTTACCACTACACCACCGGCGCCGTTGCGCAAGACGATGAACCTAACTATTGTTACACAGAGTGACGAGTATTTCTAATTCAGGGTGTCTACTCAATCCATGGAATCAAATTCCCTGAGTTTTCCAGGTTTTTCCAGGTCGGATGAAAAAAATTCCAGGTGCATACAAATTATACACATTATTATTTTATCTATTTATCCATCTGGAATCCCTTTTATGTACTTATTGATTTATGTTATTTTCGATTGTTCAAACTTGGGCGTTGGTACTTATAGGTCGGCACAGCAGAAAAGTTATTGAATATTACAGCAGAACAGATGCACGCCATAATGAAAAATCTACTCGAATTTACTTTCGACACACCTTGTCGAACCCCCCTGTTTGCTGGTGTTCACACTGCTTGCACATGTCGAAAGAACTGTCAATTTAGATTTCAAAACAAAACTGTGTCAGGAATCAAAAGTAAATACTTCCAGCATGAATTACCAGAAAATTTCTCTAGTTCCGGCAGACGTATTTGCTTTTATTATTTTAAATAAAATGAGAAGGAGAAGGTGAGCTTTGTGGAGTAGGAAATGGTTGCTCAATAGCAACACCGGCAGGGATCTGGCTCATCTTGTCCTTCAAGAGCTGCGACATGATTCCTTGAGTTCAGAAAATTTCTGTTAACAACTCAATTCTGCAAGGTCTTCAAACCTTCTGACGTCCCTGAAGTTTTGTTTCTGTTCTCCGGTAAAATTTCTTTAAAGATCAACAATCTTTCCTGACGATCTGCAAATTTCTCGGTAGTTCTACAGATTTCTTTGAAGTTCTGTGTGTTCTTCAGAAGTTCTGCAAATTTTCCTAAAAATCTACAAAATTCCTGAATCCCTGAAGATTTAAGATCCTTGAAGATCAACAATTATCTCTGATGTTCACAAAATTTCTAATAATCTACAAACTTCTCGAAAGTTCTGTAATTTTCTCTGCAGATTTTCATGATTCAATGAATATCTGCAAATATCTCTGAACATCTATACAATTTTCTAAAGAATTAAAAGATTATCTAGAAATTTTTGAGCTTTCCGGAAGTTTCAGGAAGTATTCTGAAGTTTTTCTAATTTTTCCGAAGCTGTGCAAATATCTTTAAGGATCAGCGAACATACGTGAAGTTCTGTAAATTTCTCTCAAAATCCAAGAATCGCAGTAAAATTCTGAAAATTTATTTAAACATCTGCTGATTTTTGAATAGATTTAAGATCTACCCTCTGAACTTTTCTGAAGTTCCTAAAATTTATTTCAAATTCTGTAAAGTTTTCTGAAGTACTGTATTTCTGCTCTAAAGATCTACGAACTGCCCTGAAATTCAATAAATTTCACAGTAGATCTCCGAACTTTTCTAAAGTTCTTTAAATTTCTTTGTGGATTCTTGATCTAAAGATCGACGAACTTTCCCTAAGATCTGTAAGTTTTGCTGAAGTTTTGCAATTTTTTTTTAAAAACTTACGAACTTTCTGACGTTTTACAGACTTCTATTAAGGTCCACGGACTTCTCTTAAGGTCTACGGACTTCTCTGAAGTTCTTTAGATCTATCTATTTCCGACTTACATGGAGTGCTGCAAAATATTGTACTTTTGTACTTCGCTGCGATTTGTTTTTGGAATTGAGGTGCTTTTCATTTTCATTTTCATTTTGCAGCGTTTGGTGGGGCAATGGGAGCGCAAGTCAATCCAAAGCCGAGGATAAAGGAAGGGTAATGGCTGAATAGTCTATGCGGACCACTTGAACACCATGGGAAAAGCAAGGGATTGGAAAGGTCGATTATTGGTGGGTTTTGAGGAAATTACACATAGTAGGGTAGAGCACTACTTCGGCCTAATCGCCCATTTTGGGCCTATCGAGCAGAAAACTTCAAATAAATCCATGATTTCACAGTTAACAAGTCAATTATGCGTTTGATGCGATACTTTAGTTATTGACTACGGAACGAAGTCAATGAGAACGCGTGATATGAATGTTTGCACCCATTATTCCCAAAAACAAAAGAAGCGCTCCGACGCTTCGGCCTATCGGATGAAGATAAAAATGGATTATCTTCATCCGATAGGCCGAAGTGAATTCATTGGCATTTCAATAGCGTTTCAATGCGTATGGCCGCGTTTAGAATCCGTAGGCCGAGTTTGGCGTCAAGAAACAGTGTTAGACTTTTGACAATATCTCTACGTTTGGTTTCTCTTTATCAAATCTTACGGTACATACGGAAAGGATAATAAATTTGGAAGCCATCACTAATAATAACATTTCGTTTGGTGCTAAACTGCGCTACATTAAGAAAGACTAAGTGCGGGTTGTGCCTAATAGGCCGGAAATGGGGTAGTTAACCCTACTAGATTTGTGATGCAAAATGTAAAGAAACCGAAAATCCATCTCCCACTGATCCATCTTTTCACATATATACCAAATTGATATTTTAAAGCAACCATCAAAATAAACAGACAATATATGAAAAGGCTAGTTGCCAGTTGCTTTAAAGGCTAGTTGCCTCCCTTAGCGGACCCCCCGCATCCTAACTCTTTTGTTAATCTACATAATGTTATTAGGCTGTCTAAATTTTCTTATTTAAGTTCGTTTGATGATTATGATATCTCATTAGTCTAATTTAATAAATAATTGAAATCTCTAATTTACCTAATCAATCATAACTCATGCTTTATTAAGTACCTAAACTGCTATGTAATCTAAAATTTAACGTGCTTCAAGTTGTTTTTGACTTTGACCTATACTTATTATATATTAGTTCGTCCCAGGTGACACCTTCAAGTGACTAAAATGCTTCACTTTGAAATTAGTTTCCTAGCTAATTTTTTAATTATATAGGGTATATGCTCCAACTACACTCACACGTTTCCATTATGTCGCACCACAAAAATACGTATGAGTGAGTATGTCACAATAGAAGCACGCCACAGTGGAAATCCCGAGCCATAGTTCAAACACTTATCCCAAATCAAAATGAAGCACATATAAGATTAGTTACAATACCATGTACAAAAATGGTGTTTAACATTGTTCCCTGAGTAATGCTTCAATGAAAACAACAATGAAAGCTTGTCACGCAAATAGAAGGATCACTGTTGGACACTTTCTGAAATATTTCAATAGTATAATTCCCTTGCAAGCCCAAATAAATCTATCTGCGTAAAAATAAATAAAATAAGAGTGATTTGCAGAAAAACCCGCCAGTATCGCACCCAACGTCAGTGCCTATACGTAAGCGTACTACAACGCGGCTTTCAAACAAAG